TTTTTAACTAAAATACGAGTCCATAATCCATAATACCGCTTCTTCCAGTGAAAAAGTGGTCTGGACTGAATCAGGAGAGAAATCTGCACAGATCAAGCAGCGTTTACAAGCCAAAACAGTCCAAAACGGCTCTAAACAAATATGTGGCTGGAACAGGAGATGAGCTTTTTAACTGGAGGAAGCGTTATTATGGACTCGTATTGGAGTTACAAAAGTCTTAATGCTGGATTTGTTTCAGCTTTTGTCTTCTCCAAACCTTTGCACGCACGGATATTGCAAGACATATTAAAGTGGTAACATTTTGTTTTTGCTAAATCACATTTTATATACGATGTCAACAACCACTTAAAAATAACTACAGATAAGTGCAACGGTAATATGTATCATGTTTATTGTTCTTTAATTCTAACATTATAACATGAATTGCAGTGAAACTGTTATAAAGTTGAATTTATTTATACCATAGTCCAGTGTTTCCCACAGACTTGCACTCTCTATTTGTGGCGCCATATATATGCAAACTCATTCTCTGCCAGCAGGAGGCACTGTTGAAGTGGTAGAGTTCAGGTTTCCCCCGGTAACGCTGTACACAAAGCAGCGCTCCGCTCACAAACACTGCTTTATCAGACATTACAGGCAAGATTAAATTAAAATGACATTCAAAATTTTCTGAAGACAGTCGGTTTCCTTCAGAAATACAGTGACATAAAAACACCTGCACCGGGTTTCAATTTTGAAACTGCAGTGCTCATGTTTATTCAACGAAGTCAAAGCCTTTTGGAAAATCTATTTGTGGCGGTCAGTTTTGATATTCTGGCAGGCGCCACAAATAAATCAACGTATGGGAAACACTGTAGTCTCATAATTGAATTGTAAATTCTGCAGATTATTACAATGTCCAGTATTGCACTGTCAGCAACGTTTTCATAATTGTAACATACATATTTACATACATAATTATTCAGCATGTGCATGTGTAATAACTTGTGAAAACTTGACGCTACAGCAGCACTACTTCTTCGTCGTCGTCTTGTCTGATGCACTCAACCAAGCGTTCGAACCACGACCTCGGCCCTCCCCACCCCCCAACCATTCCAGTTTCCATGGGCGGGATACACTGACTAAAATTCAAAAAGTGAAAAAGCATAATAGGACCCCTTTAAACAGTCATTCAAACAATATTTTCTAAATCAAACTGAACGGTCAGTGAAAGGCAGATCTGGTCAGAGCTCAAACTATCTTTTCTCAGGGTTAAAAAATTATCACTAACACCGACACATTCTGTCTGTCTGTGGCATCAGAGACCAGAGTTCACACTCCCGCATAACAATGAGATCTCACTCTACATGTGAAAACTAAGCTAAAGTAGGCACATTCATGCAAGCATTTGTAGTCCCAATTTGCTTTTTGCAACAAACTGATGTTCTCGTCTCCTGAATCTCCTGGTGCCTTCGAACGCTCATATAAACCATCAAGACAGTGTTTCCACACCGGCACCGCTGGAGACAGAGCGAGCGTTTGACACACAGGTGAGAGTCTCTAACATCAAACATCACCTCACACAGCCAGGTGAGATTCTTCATGACGCCTCAAGACACAAACCTTCAAATGTTCAAGTCAACACAACGAATTAAACTGAAACTGAAAACTCAAACGAGATGCTGTGAACTCTGGAAAACTGGGGGAATTTCTGTACTTTGACCAACTAAGCAACAACATCCAAACCTGCTGACATCAGACGTGACAGCTGTCAATAACAAACAGCACATACATGCAGAAAAAACAATCAATCAAAAGTTCTGATTTTGTTTAAATACTCAAAATGCAATTCAAATGGCTTTGAATCAGTATATTTGTCAAAACAATTCAATTTAATTTACATGTGAGCTATTTTGTATATTTACAGCCATCTAAAACAGATGGGATTCAAACCTACATCCACTGGGTTATCATTTTAACCACTAAACCACACACTTAAAACTAAGCAATTGTTTAACTAGATTAACCAGATGCTGAAAGTGGTCATATCTTAGTCTTGAACCACTATAACGCTACTAAACAAAGCATCCTGCATTTAGAAATGCAAACACATAGTCCTTGCAACAAGTGTTTAACTAGATTAACCAGGTGCTAAAAGTTCACAGTTCTTAGTTTTTAACCATTTAAACCAGTTTATAAGCATTTAAACCCTTAACCAGCTGGTTTAAAGTCGGCTTAATCCCAATTCTTTTGAATCATCCATTCTCAAGTTTGAATCTTTGGCTCACCAACCCTGATCATTTACCACTGAACCACAGTATCCTGCATTTAAAGGGGTCATATGATGCTTCATTACACCAAATACACAAAATAATGTTCTTTTTAACAACATCATATGACCCCTTTAAAAATTAAGACACTGAAAGTCCTAGTCTTGCAGCAGTTTATACAATGTTTAACTAGATTAAACAGGTGCTGAAAGTTTACAGTTCTAGTTTTTTTTACCACTAAATCTCTAGATAACCCCACTAAACCCTGTAGGATTAACCGGATTGCTGAAATGCCCAATTTACAGCATTTAAACCCTTAACCAGCTGGCTTAAAGTCGATTGAAACCCGATTCTTTTGAATCATCCATTCTTAAATAAGAATCTTTCGGTCACAAATCCAGCTCCTTTACCACTAAACCACATCATGCATCATCCCTGTACCTCAAACCTTCCTTCTCTTTAACCACTAAGCCACATCAGCTCACCTTTAAAGACACAATGGCCTGATCTGGAGTGAGTTTGACTCACTCCAAAACCCACGACCTTCGGTTTACCCAGCATTTAAACATCTAATGACTCGAAGCACTGTTTACGGGTGAGTTTGAGGTGTTTCTTACCCTGCTGGACCAGATGCTGATCTGGGTCTCGGACAGCACCGCCAGGTAGAACCGTTGCGCGCTGGGCTCGATCAGGAAGGGCCGCTCGCTGCTCCGGAGCGGGCAGAGGAGCCTCCGCGGCCAGCCGCTCAGAAAATACATCACGATCCGGTTCCGACCCAAATCACTGCGACACCGGGGCAGACAGACTCTCTCCAGCGGCCTCCATTCACCAGAACCAGACCACAGTTCGACACGAACTCGTTCGCGTTCAGTCCGGGATCATATCAGCGGGATCCGGTGTCAGTTCGGAGGATCTGAATCCAAAATCCGCTTTATTTGCTACTGCAAGCGAGAAAGTGTAGAAGTAAAGCCGTGTAACGGAGCCACGGAAGCGGAACCGGGTGTCGCGAGGTTTCGCGGCTCTCACTGCGCGACTGGACCGCTGGACTCTGTGTTCCGAAGGGAAGTTTTGGATCCGAATTTGTCCCATGAATCCTCCACCGTCGCCATCTTTAGTCTCTTATTTATCTCCGGTCTGCTCGCTGCTTTTAAACGCTTTAGAGCGGGAACGGCATTTACACGCGCGGTTATGACCGTTACTGCCGGAAGGGGGCGCGACGCGGCCCACAATACATTGCGGTTAACGGAAAACTCATTTAAAATAAAAATGTATATATATATATATATATAAAACATAAAACACACACACAAAAATAATATACAAAATACACATACAGTCAGGTGGTGGGCTAAACATTATGTAAATATATTAAAGGATTTACAAATGGAGACAGTCTTAATTGCTTTCTTATTATGTAAATAAAAATGGTCTTAACATAAATTTGAATTTCTTTTTCTAGAATCAAAAACAAAGAATTGGTTTTACTGTACTTACACATATGAATATGAAATTTAGCAAAAAATTTAAATTACATTTATAATGTAGTACTCTTTTCTTTTATTTGAAGGGATATTAGTAAAACCGAATAAAACGAAGCACAAAAAAAAAGTGGGGTCAATGATATCATTTATAAATCTAGTCAAATCTTTCAAAATTTTTTGGAAAGATTTGGGCAATGCCAAAATAAATGAAACAAAGTTTCAGTCATCATATTACAAAAATAATCACTATTTTTACATTTAAACCGGAAGTTGTCATCATCACAAGTGTGTCGCGCGCTCTCGGTCCCGCTCGATTTCTGAAAATCGTGACGTAACATAACATGTTGGCGTAAAACGTCAGTTCCTCAGAGTTAGAGTTCAATGTTCAGAACTCCGGCGCCTCCTGCCGGTGAAACTGAGCAACTGCATGCGTTCATATTGCCACTCACATAAATAAATAAGAGCTACAAAAAATAATGCAATAGCTATCATAATTATAAATAGCTCAAATGTATAAAAATAAACAAAGTAAATATAAAATTTCTAAATACTTATAAAAATATATATTCATAAAATAAACGAATGTAAAAAAAAAGCTTGGTTTTGACTGTTCTTTCTTGAGATATATGTATCATAATTATAAATAGCTCAAATGTATAAAAATAAACAAAGTAAATATAAAATTTCTAAATACTTATAAAAATATATATTCATAAAATAAACGATTGTAAAAAAAAAGCTTGGTTTTGACTCAGTTCTTTCTTGAGATATATGTAAACATAAAACATGCAAGTTATACTTGTCTTAGGCATTAATAAAAGAATAAGCAATTTTAGCACCATATCTCTTTATATTATTTTATTTGTTATTAAAAAGGTCCAAAATGTACACAGCCGATCAAAAGTTTGGGATCAGTAAGATTTTTAATGTTTTTAAAGAAGACTCTTCTGCTCACCAAGCCTGTATTTATTTGAACAAAAATACAGAAAAAAACAGTAATATTGTGAAAAATTATTGCAATTTAAAATACAGGTTTTCTATTTTAATGCACTTTAAAATCTAATTTATTTCTGTGCTGCGCAGCTGAATTTCCAGCATCATTCCTCCAGTCTTCAGTGTCACATGTAAACATAATCGGAGCCAGTGTTTTATTTGTCATTAAAATCATTCAAAGCCTCTTGAAAATAAACAACCAGCCACAAATCAAATAATTCAGCGTTTATTTTAAATTAAGCATCATAAGTCATACACAGAAAAGGTCAAAATCAGTAAATGATCACGGAATGACAAAAACTAAATCTACAGCTTAATACCTTCATTTCTATTAAACATATTAAAGTATTTCATGTAAGCAATGAGACAGGATCAGTGTGTGTGCCCATATATTAGGTAGTTTACATTTGAAAATATCTACAGTATAAAATATCAGATATCAGATGACTGCAGAGAAGTGAGATCCGTCAGTCAGCTTTCTCATCAGCCTCCGTCTTCGGCTGGTTTGCTGTGGATCCGTTACATTCAGCCTGAAACACAACCACGAGCAGCATGAAGGACTCGTCTAAACACTTACTGCTGATCATAAACGCACTGGAAAAACCACTCTCTCTTGTGTTTCATGGACAAGCATACGTTTGTGATGAACAACGTTACTTTTATGAATCTCTCATAAAAGTAAATAACGAGAGAAGTTTCATTTTTGGGTGAATTGTTCTGTAAATACTTAATTTATAGTATTACAATAACATAAAATTACATTATAAAACACTAATTATAATTTATATTTATATGAGCATATAGTCATGTATAATTAAATGTATATGATTAAAAATAATATTCTATTACATATAATTATATTATGAAAAATATATATTAAATAATATATTAATATTAAATACTTATATGATCATATAACAATGTATATATTAAAATATTATATATAGATATTATTCTAATAGTATACATTTAATTATAAATATTAAATATGAATATATAAATATATATATATTCATTGTTAACAGTATATAATTAAGTGCATATATTAAAATAATATTTAATATTAATTAAATAATAATTATTATGTAATATACAATATGGCCTGGTCACAGACAGGGTTTAGACTAAACCAGGATTAGGCCAATAGTTCAATCAGGATATTTAAGTAGCTTTTATAAATGTACCATCACCGGTGTGCGTCTTGAGACAAAAGAAAGGCACTGATATATTTTAAGATCAGTCCGTGTAAGTTTCTTTCAGTTGAAACAGCTCAGAATCACACTTATGTCTGTGAAACCAGGGGTATATGATTGCATTTATATTATTAAAATAGTATTTCTATTACTATTTACACATAACAACACATGAGGAATGGATCACGTGTGTGCTGCGGTGAGGACAGAGCTGGCTCTGAAGGGTTAGTGTTTACAGTGCTGTGTTTCTGAGTCTCCCGCACAGCTGCTGGACTCCAGACGCGGCTGATGAAGGGACAGAGGACGGGCTCCAGGAAGCGCTTGTAGAGCCACAGCAGCACAGGGATCACTATGTAGGGAATACACACCATCTCTGACAGCGCACTGAACACAAAACACAGCCAGATTAATGTGTTGACATGTTAGAAATGCTCAACTCCAGTTGTCATTCTCTCTATTATTCCACAGACTTATGATTAAAATATGCATAACATATACAATTACAGTCAAAAGTACTGTGCTGGTACTAATATATATATATATATATATACTGCTGCTGCTATGTTTCTGGTCAAATACCATGTTAGAGCCATGTAAAAAAAATAATAATAATAATAATTATATATATATACATATATATAGTACCAGCAGCAGCAGTAGTTTTTATTATAATTATATATACTTGTATATAACGTTTTATTAGCATTGTATTATAATATAGTACTAATATATATATATATTAGTATTATATTTACATGGCTCCAACATGGTATTTGACCAAAAACCGCAGCAGCTGCAGTATATAACCATTATATTTCCTGACGTATATAATCAGAATATATAAAGCCTGATTTTTATACTTTTCATCTGAATCTTCCCAATCATTTTAAATCTCATGATTAACTCGGTCTGTTCGCTGCTCTTCCTGTTTACAATCACAAATCTGATCTAGAAACAAACACACGCTTCGTTTTTATGTTCTTATCATATATATATGAGCAGATAATCATATATTTAATTGAAAAATACGCTAAAACGCCGTTAATCTGTGTAAAACTCACCTTGTTCTGCGTGAGCGGAACTAATATTGTGTACGACGCGGAGTTTGTGGTGTCTGTCAGAGTGACGCCGCTGCGGTTACTGCTACTGTTACTGCTACTGCTGCTGCCGCCACCCAGCGGCGCGGAGGAGCAACGACACCCACAGAACAGCTCAAATAAAATAAAATAAAATAAAATAATAAGATACAATAAAATAAAAAATAAGATAAAATAAAATAGGATAAATAATAAGATAAAATAAAATAAAAAATAAGATGAAATAAAATAAAATAGGATAAAATATAAGATAAAATTAAATTAAATTAAATTAAAAATAAGAAAAAATAAAATAGGATAAAAATAAGATAAAATAAAATAAAATTTAAAAAAATTGGCCAAACAGTTCTGGCTGTATACAGCAATTACAAAGACATCATCTTTAGCTGATCTAACTATACAAAGTTATTACACCATGTTGCCAATTAAATCATGCATTTTATTTTTAGGTCTTTGCTGGGACACATTTGCATTACATATACTTATATTTATTACTTGAGTTTTTATCCAAAACAGCTTACAAATGAGGAACAATGTGTTATCACCAACAATTTTTTAGTAAAATAATACTGAACAATAGTCTCATGTAACCTGTAATAAGCGGTAACCTGCAACTGTTACCTTAAAGTAACAGTTTAACCCATAACCATTAGTTGTTGTTTTTTTGTATAAATGAATGTGTTTAGGTTGATTCAGTGATGTGACTTAAATTAAACCAGTTCATTTAGATTTACCGTTTAAGGATACTATTTACATTTTACGAAAAAAATGTATAAATTAGAAGTAAAATTCAGAAAAGGAGTTATTGTAAATACTTATGATTAAAAGCTATTATAAAACACATGGAATAGAAAACAAACTGACCAAAGAAGTGCCTTTCAAAAATACTTTTTATTGTGTTTTCTTATAAAGCCACAGGAAAAGGCTTCATTCATATACAAAACTGTACAATTATTTGTGCAGTCTAAATTTCTAGTTAAATTTCAGTCTAGATTCTGCATCTTTTAACACCTGAAATACTGAAAGACACCAAAGGCTTGTAAACCACATTACATTCAGTCCCAAACACCGGCATTTGAACTCAAACATCATTTTTTCCCCGCATTGACATCCACACGAATCAAACTCATTGAGTGCAATATTTGTTTTTTGATTATCTCAATCATGTCTGGCACAATATAACAATTATATTTAATATCGTGTATTTTAGTGCAATATGATAATACATACCTTGAGTAATGATGAGAGGTTATTATGTTATGATTTTGCACCGAAGCATCTAGTTTAAGGAAGGCCAGTACAAACACATTAAACAGTAACATGTGTGTGATCTGTCCACTAACCCACGGAAATATACAGATTGAACCTCTGAAAACACTTCTGTTCATATTCCAGAAAACCTCTGAAATAGTAGTTCAGTAACACTAAAAGAACTGCAATCTCATTGCAATCCTGCAATCTAATAATACTAACACAAGAGGATCTTCATTCAAGACAACTCTCATCTAAAATCCTTCAGACAGGCGTCAGATTACTCTCCAGCCACAAGTCTTCTGCTCACCAAGCCTGCATTTATTTGATCCAAAATACAGCAAAATCAGTAATATTGTGAAATAGTTTTACTATTTGAAATAACTGCTTTCTATGTGAATATCTGTTAAACTGTAATTTATTCCTGTGATCAAAGCTGTATTTTCAGCATCATTACTCCAGTCTTCAGTGTCACATGATCTTCAGAAATCATTCTAATATGCTGATTTGCAGCTCAACAAACATTATTATTATTATTATTACTATTAACAATATTTAAAAGAGTTGAGGACATTTTTTGAGAGTTCTTTGATGAATAGAAAGATCCAAAGATCAGCATTTATCTGAAATAAAAAAGCTTTTGTAACATTATACACCAACTAAACCATTCAAAAGCTTGGAGTCAGTATATCATTTTTTTTTTTTTTGATTTTTTTTTTTCTATAATTATAGAAATTATTACTTTTATTTAGCAAGGATACTTTAAATTGATCAAAAGTGATGATAAAGACATTTATAATGTTACAAAATATTTCTATTTCAGATAAATGCTGTTCTTCTGAACTTTCTATTCATCAAAGAAACCTGAAAAAATTCTACTCGGCTGTTTTCAACATAATAATAATAATAAATGTTTTTTGAGCAGCAGATGAGAATATTAGAATGATTTCTGAAGGATCGTGTGACTGGAGTAATGATGATAAAAATTCACAGGAATAAATTACATTTTAAAATATATTCGAATAGAAAAGTTATTTTAAATGAATAGTAAAAATGGATCAAATAAATGCAGGCTTGGTGAGCAGAAGAGACTTCTTTAAAAAACATTTAAAATCTTACTGTTCAAAAACTTGACTGCTAGTGATATATTCCATAACATCAGATCAACAAATACTGAATTATTAAATTTTAACTTTAGTATTTTACACTTATGAAATCAAGGCACAGTGATGTGATGTCAGCTCTTGACTGAAATAAAACAACGCAATGTTTGTAACTAAAGGCACAGCAGGTTCAGTCACATGTGGGTCGTTCACACCGGACGGTTGCGTTATTGTTTGTGTATTACTACTTCTGTTCTGTTGCACTGATCTCAGTCCAGGTGTTTAAAAGCAGGAACACGTCCTGTGTGAACGGACCATTTGGTAACACAAATATAAAGTTTTTTGTTTGGCCTTTTAAGAGGTTATAAGTTCTGAACATAGTGTCTGATTGTTAAAGGTGCTGCAAGTGATTTCAGGAGTTTTTCAGCTTCATTCGCACACGCCCCTGACTCCGCCCACTAACACACACACGCCTTCTGTGCTAAACCCCGCCCACTAAGACACACACCCTCTATGAGAAACTCCACCCACTGAGACACACCCTGTGTCAAACTCCGCCCACTGACACAAGCCCCCTATTAAACTCCACCCACTAAAAGACACACACACACAAAAACACACCTTTAATGCCAAACTTCACCTACTAAGACAGACACACCCTCTGTATCAAACCCCACCCACCAAACCGAGGTCTGCAAATCTGAACATGCATAATGACTGACAGGATTTCTGATTGGCTAAAAAACAGGCCACTCCCCTTCACTCAAAAAAGGCCTACATTTAATTTTTTGTGTATATGAATTGCATTTAACATTTGAATTACCCAGTTTTACCAAACTAAAAAACTTAATGTGATGCAAATGTGTCTGTCATGCATAAATAAAGCCAGTCAGATTTCTGTAATAGCACTAATAAACAGATTGTGTGCTAAATACACAAATAACCAGCTTTATATATTTAACATCAATACATCCAACTTCTGTAAATCTCATGCATTTGAATATTGCTTGTTCCACATCTATAGTCATATCTGAACTATGTTCATATATTTGAACTGAACAAATGTAATTGTTTTCACAATTAACTGATTTATGATGATTCTAAGCCATATGTATAAATGTATTTCGAAAAAATTATTTAAATAAAATCAAATAAATGCAAATAGTTGATTTTTTTTTTTTCTTTCTTTCTTGCATTTAGAAATCTGACCTCATTATGTATGACTGACTAATATGCATCACATTATGTTTATTAGTTTATGTTAAAACAATGTTAGCCAAATTTTCGTGATTTCACTAAGTACCGAGTAATCAGACAGACAGCGAGGGATGCGGGTGTCACTTGAGTCAGAATTGAGCGTGATGTGATTTCTCAACATTTGATGTGCGATACTCCTAAAAAATCACTGACAGCAGCTTTAAAATCGCTCAAAGTGTTTAAATATGAAACAGATGCTGAATGAGCCTGAAGTGTGTGTGTTCTTCAGTCCTTCATCCAGACGCTCGTTTGCTCACGGCGTCAGTCCTGAGGAGGAGTCAGTGTGTGAATCAAGACGACTGACACACACACCGCTCTACTGAGAGTGACAGCATCTGAGACACACACACACACACACACACAGCTGTTTAAGACTTGTCCACAGACGTCATGCCGATATAAGTGCCATTTTTCTCGTCTTGATCGTCCACTTTGGCGCTCACAGGAGCGTATGACGTGTCTTTCTTCGCAGACGGCTGAAAGAAAACACAATAAGGTTGATTTAGTATGTGTGCGTGTTATGAGTATGAAATACACTTCATGCAAGTACAAGAACATACTACAAGTTCATGTACTTGACTACAGCATGTTTTAGTCCTTTAAACTAGTTTGCAAGCATCACATGATTAACCAGTCAGTTACTGATTGAGTTCAAGCTGAAGTGAGTTAAGCCTGTTTCACACATCTCTGAATATTTACATTAATAATGCATGTAAATACATGTATATTTACATGCATGGCTTTTAGGTCTGACTCAGGAGAGACTAAATTCTGGTTTTTATTGTAGATTTGTTTTCTTTTTGTCATAGTTGACCATTAATTTGCACTTTGGGATACACTCGTTGTATTATAAATAAGTAAATAAACTCAAACTCTTAATATTAAAATGTTACTGGAAGTGAACCAATTCCCATACACAAATGTAATATACAGTATGTAAATATATTCAATTTCCATATATGAAATATATTGCCATATGAAGTAAAAACATAGGAAACATATTAGAAACTTATTAAAATAAACAAATATGTATGTTAATGCGTGTAATACGTTTTCAGACATATATATCATGTACATGTATATTCATTCTAAAAACTGTCATAACATGATGATATTATATAAGTAAATATAAATAAGAGACATGCATTTAAGAAAAGCATTACAAAAACATCATTTGTTTGTGTATACGTTGTTTTAATAAAGGTATAAAAATATAAAGTTATAAAATTGCATATAAAAATAAAATATATATTGTTGACATACATGGCTCCTGCATATAAAATCATCATATAGATATTATTAACATATGTATTTTACTATGGGAATTTTACATATGTTTTTATATCTTCATCTACCCAGAGAATGTACATATGTGAAATTACATAATTGCCTTTTAGGCAATATATATGGCAATATCACTCTTGATATAGAGCAATAAATGTCATATTAAATTTCTGTATGGAAATAACCAAACGACATGAGGCAGATCACATTTACATCCAAATGCTAGTTAATCTAATAATCCAGATCACAAAGTGAAGCCATAAATGTTTATATGATTAAAAGATTGTATTTAGTGCATTTCAACATTTTCTGTTGCATTTATTAAATTTTTTATTCATGCATTTGGCAGATGCTTTCTCCAAAGTGACTTGCATTGCTTTTAGGGTTTGCATTTGATCAGTTCATGCATTTCCTGAGAATCGTATCACTGATGTTAGATGTGTGAAACAGGCCTGAACTAGTTTAGTTAGCTGGTTAGTGAGTGCTGAACTTACAGGAGAGCAGCGGAAAGCCTCAGCGAAATCAAAGCGCTTCACTTCAGTCTAAACAAAAGCAGATCAACAGATCATGATGCTCATCAGGTGAGAGGGATAAACAAGCCAAGATATTAGAAAGCAAACTCAGCACAGAATGGTTACTAGGTTAGTGAAGTGATCATGAGAGCAGCATGTGGCAGTTAGTCACTTCAGGAAAGCATGAGTTATGACAGGAAATAAATTCATCCACAAGCAGAAGAACAGCAAGCTTTGGATGAAACCTCAACTCCATCAGATACAGAAAACTAGTCATTTAAAGCAGTTGAACCACAGTCACCCCACCATTCAGAAGACATGCTAACTACAGAAGCTTTACTTTATATAGTATATTCAATTGGTGTAAATGAAAATGTTAAATTAAGAATATTTAGTTTTGTTCATCATGTTTTACTTTTTGTAATCTGCTTTGAGCTGCTATTTACTATTTTTCCTGTAACATTTCATCTAAACATTACCAACCATTCAGAGAACACTCCCATAATGTTTGCAAAATTATAAAATGGAACGTTCCCTTTATGCTTTCTTATGTTTGCATAACTGATAATTTTTTTTTTTTTAATATTTGAAAACCTCAGAACATATTTTGGACCCACTTTATATTAAGTGGCCTTAACAACTATGTACTTACATTTAAATTAATAATTTGGTACGATGCACTTATTGTGTACATGCATGTTTTTACATTGTAGTTATATTTTAAAAATACCTTCATGTAATTACATCTGTAATTACATTTATAATTACACAGTTGACCCATCCCTTACACCTTAACCCACCCTTAAACCTACCCATACCACCAAACCTGTCCCCAGAAATATTCCTGGAATGGTTTGACGGCAGCTTTAGTGCGTGTGAACCGAGCGGACAGAGAATGTCACATTTTAGGGTTTCAGTGCAAACTTTGGTGGGAAAGTGAAGAATAAGCTGGAGAATAATGGAGATTTTTCTGAAAAGCCTCAACTTTCTCACACACACACTTTGTGACCCTTAAGACAAACTTTATGTTTGTTTATGTAAAGCTGGAAGTTTAAAGTAGTTTGAAAAGCTTGTAGTTTGTAGCTTTGAAGTCTCCCAGACAGACAGATCACTTTGGTTGCTAAGGCGTTCTGTGTGACAGCAAAGGCATTGCCAAACATTTGCTATTGTGTCCTTGTTTTTTGCCAAAGTGTTGTTTGCCGAGTGAGTTACAGTGTTCTAATTAATTACTAGAGTGTTACTAGGTGGTTGTTAGGGTGTTCTGGTGAAATGAGAAGACCAGAGTTGCAAGGATGTTGCTAGGCAGTTGTTAATGTGTTCTGTATGGTTACTAGGGTCTTCTGGGTGGTTAATAGGGTGTTACTAGGCAGTTGCTAGGGTGTTACTAGAGAGCTCTTAGGGTGTTTCTGGGGAAATAAGAAGACCAAAGTTAATAGGGTGTTGCTAGGCAGTTGTTAAGGTGTTCTAGGTGGTTGTTAGGGTATTCTGGGTAGTTACTAGGGTGTTACTAGGTGGTTGTTAGGGTGTTCTGGTGAAATGAGAAGACCACAGTTGCAAGGATGTTGCTAGGCAGTTGTTAAGGTGTTCTATATGGTTACTATGGTGTTCTGGGTGGTTAATAGGGTGTTACTAGGCAGTTGCTAGGGAGTTACTACAGAGTTCTTAGGGTGTTTCTGAGGAAATAAGAAGACCAAAGTTACTAGGGAGTTGCTAGGCAGTTGTTAAGGTGTTCTGACTGGCTACTAGGGTGTTCTGGGTGGTTAATAGGGTGTTACTAGGCAGTTGCTACGGTATTTCTGAGAAAATAAGAAGACCAAAGTTGCTAGGTGGCTGTTAGGGTGTTACTAGACAGTTGTTAGGTTGTTCTGGGGAAATGAAAAGACTATTGTTGCTAGGGTGTTGCTAAGTGGTTGTTATGTTGTTCTGGGTGGTTACTACCGTGTTACTAGGTGGTTGTAGGGTGTTCTAGGAAAATGGGAAGACCAGACTTGCTATAGTGTTGCTAAGTGGTTGTTAGGTGTTCTGGACAGTTACTAGGCAGTTGCAAGGGTGTTGTCAGGCAGTTGTTAGGGTGTTCTGGGTGGTTGCTAGGGTGTTACTAAGCGGTTGTTAGGGTGTTTTGGGAAATTAGATGACCAGAGCTGCTAGGGTGTTCTGTGTGTTTGCTAGTGTACTCTGGGTGGTTGCTAGGCAGATGCTAGGGTGTTATGTATGGTTGCTAAGTGGTTGCTAGGGTACTCTGGGTCATTGCTAGGGTATTGCTAGGGTGTTCTGGGTGGTTGCTAGGCAGATGCTAGGGAGTTCTGTATGGTTGCTAAGTGGTTGCTAGGGTACTCTGGGTCATTGCTAGGTTGTTGCTAGGGTGTTCTGGGTGGTCGTATTACCTTGTTCTGATAGAAGCGGATGACAAGGATGATACAGACGAGCAGCAGAATGACTCCCAGAGCCCCGAGGACGAGCGGGAAATGAGAGACCAGAGTCACGATCAGCAGCAGCTTCTGAATCCTTGCGGCCGAAGCGTCGTCAATCACCACCGACTGCAAACACAGCAGAAAATTATCCAGCGGTTTTATAGGAGACGAAACCGTTGGTCACTAAATCATCCACTTCTGACTCTCACCTCATTCAGAAACAAAATGGGGAAGATGGTGCCGTTGAGATTCCTGGTCAAACTGAGGAAACAAAGGACAAAAAGACCTTCAGCCAGAAAACTATAAAAACACACACTCACGGCTGTTTATCAGAACGGCCCGATTAAATATATCAGACAGGAAAGCATCACTCACGGAAAGCCGATCACTCTCTGGAGATGAATGTTGATCTGGGCTCGTTTCATGGCACGAACAGGCACTCCCATAGTCTGAGGAGAAACCAGAAGATCTGAGCCAGACTGCAGCAATCATACCAATTATATCACAAAAACACTTCAGACAGGAAAAAATACATTAGAGAACGAGACACTGATCATGAAAATCAACTCTTCAAAGCGTCTTATCACAACACAGCAGATCTTACAGGGTTCAGATCCAGAAAGGTCTGGTGACGCTCGTGCACTGGAGAAATGCCATCGATGGCTTTGGCGTACCTCTCAGCACCCAGATGAAAGTGAGGGAACGACACGACGACAGGAGCACCTGAGACGACAATTACACCACAAAATCACTGCATTTCTGATGCTTTTATCCAAAGAGACGTGCATTGCAATCAAGGCATTCATTTGATCAGCCCATGGATTCCCAAACTCAAAAGATTTTTTTTTTAAATGAAAACCATTTTATACTGCATAAGGAAAATTAAATGTTTTTGTAGTACCATTACGATTTTTTCCACTGTGACATTATTTTCATGACGTTCAATTTTCAGTACAGTACTGTACATCACAGTAAAAACATTATTATTATTATTATCATCATCATAAATAAGTAATAATTAATGTATAATGTATAAATCAATAATTCAATAGAAATAAAATAAATGATTAAATTAACTTGCATCACAAGAATAAATTACATTTTAATGTATAGAAAACAGCTATTTTAAATAGTAATATTTCACAATATTACCATTTTTACTGAAGAGACTTCTTTAAAAAATGATTATTCCCCAAAAAATTATATAATATTATATTCACTCCCACTATTATGGTTTTTACAGTATTTTTTACTGTATACAGAAGAGACTTCTTTCAAAAAAATTAATAATTAAAAAGATATATTTTATATACTGTATATATATATATATATATATATATATATAATATATATATATATACAGTCTATCCAGTGTTTACATATTGTAACTAATGTTCATGAACATGTGTTGTTCCTATTAAATGAACAAAAAAGTTTTTGGAGTGAAATCTGGTGTTTAGTTTCATGCACTACAGAATTACAAGATCAAACATTTTAACATGAGTGGATATGTTCAGAACAACATACTACATGCACTATTTCTGCAGTGCGCGATATGAGTAATCACCTAGATGACCTTCTGCATGACCTCCTCAAAATGCAAAATAAGTTTTTCATTGGCAGGATGATAACTGACTCACTCAGTGAATTAAACAAAGCAATGAGTGAAACATTCAGCATCATACAGCACATAGGCTACTGTTTCACACTCTTCTTTCATTCACAAGTCAGTGCCCTCGTCAGATAAAGGGATGTCCTCTAAACTCACAGAACATCAGTCATTACGAATGTTTTGTTGTCTAACAGCAGAAATGACGTCTCCTCCTCGCTTTGTCTTAACAATGCCTTCTCTCGTACGAGCCCCCTGAGAGTCGTAGAGCTTCATCCTGTCGTGACGTTAAAGAGGAACATCGTCTCATGAGAAGACCAAGGGAACTCTGACCTTGAGCATGAAAACAATCAGGAGTGACCTCAAGTAACCCAGATGATTTACCACCTCTGTTCTCAACACATGTAGGGGAAATTAGACTCCTGCGTTACTGGGACAGAGGTGAGAGTGTGTGTGTGTGTGTGTGTGTGTGTGTGTGTGAGAGAGAGTGTGTGTGTGTTTGTGTTTGTGTTTCATACACCTGTAATATGCGAGCGCTTGAATGCTTTGGCAATAATGTAATTATGTGCTGATGCTCACAAGAGCACAGCATGACAGAAAACTATAAAACAAACAGATCTGAGAGGAAGGTCAGCAGTTATTATGTGTGCATGTTTCACTTCATGGATCAATCTGGTACTCAAAATCCATTTAGATCTGAAAAAAAAAGATTCAAAAATATATCTTCACACCAGACATGAAGAAACCGCCTAGAAAACAGACTAAAAATACTCAGAAACACTCATTCACAACTGCTTAAAAAGTAGCAACTGCCTAAAGCATTAAGAACACCTTAACAACTGTATAGCAACAGATAATTCTGCACATGCAAAAAGCACTTTAGTAAAACTTTAGTTCTGATGAGCTTTATGTGATTAATAACACAGTCCCTGGTAAGTCCTCATTTTTCATAGACTGATAAATGTGTGAGTGTGTTTTAGTGGCTATTTATTCATAAATGTGGCATGTGTTCAACATAAAAACACAGCAGGACGAGATGAGGAATGTGCTCGAGTCAGGTGACTAAGTTGTGTGTGTGTGTGTGTGTTTTGCAGCTCTTCCACATTGGTTTTCCCCTTCATTTACAGGAGACACAAAACACAGTTTCACTGTCTCTGTGTTAATTTCCGTTGTTACTTGAGATGTTAAAATGTGGCTATTATGTGTGTGTGTGTGTGTGTGTGTGTGTGTGTGTGTGTGTGTGAGAGAGTGTATAGGGGGAACATAAACTCATATTACTGCTCCAGACACACAGGGCAATGAGAAATAAAGTAGAAAATGAAATGCCTAACACAGTCTAAAATACCCTAGCAACTCCATAGCAACAGCCTAAACATTTTAGAACACCCTAACAACTCCATAGCAACAGACAAAAACACGCAGAACACCCAAGCATCTGCATAACAACAACCTAAAACACTCAGAACACCCTAGCAACTGCATAGCAACAGCCTAAAACACTCACAACACCCTAGTAGCTGCATAGCAACAGCCTAAACATTTTAGAACACCCTAACAACTCCATAGCAACAGACAAAAACACTCAGAACACCCTAGCAACTGCATAGCAACAGCCTAAAACACTCACAACACCCTAGTAGCTGCATAGCAACAGCCTAAAACACTTACAACACCCTAGCAACTGCATAGCAACAGCATAAAACACTCACAACACCCTAGCAACTGAATAGCTACAGCCTAAAACACTCAGAACACCCTAGAAACTGCATAGCAACAGCCTAAAACACTCACAACACCCTAGTAGCTGCATAGCAACAGCCTAAAACACTCAAAACGCCCTAGAAACTGCATAGCAACAGACTAAAACACTCAAAACGCCCTAGAAACTGCATAGCAACAGCCTAAAACACTCAGAACACCCAAGCAACTGCTTAGCAACAGCCTAAAACACTCAGAACGCCCAAGCAACTGCATTGAAACAGCCTAAAATATTCAAAACAGCCTAGTAACTCCATAGCAACTGCATAAGAAAGCCAATGAGCAATAATTAAAGTATAAAATTAAACGAATGATTAAAGGAAATTAGAATGAAATTGAATATTAAATTAAACTGGTTTAATCTTCAGTTGTAATCCTATAATATACAAGTAAGCTGTGTTCATGCATGTCTGAATTACATGTACATATACACATTAGCGCACCGTTCCGACACACAGACACATCCAGCACGCCGTCGTCTAGGCAGTTCTTTGGCGTCAGGCAGAATCCCTCGTTCTCTGGGTTGTTCTTGCCGCTGGCCAGCACGGCTCGGGGCGGCGTGAAGCGGTACGCTGGGATGCCCTTCACCTCCACCTCCTTCTCGAAGCGCATGTGGATGGACCTGCAGAAGAGCCATCAGACAACACGATCACAGAACAACACATGCTGCACAGCTGATTCAGATTAACCTGGCAGCTGTGACCCTGAACACGACCTTTGATGCACGAGCCTGTGTTCGCTATTAAGAAAGCATTCGGAAACCTGCTTTTAAGTCACAGGAAAAGAGCTCCGTAACAAACAGCGGTCTTGTGATCAAGCGTGTTTGTTTTGAGCTGATTCTGATCAAGGGAAAGGAGTTTTCCAGACAGACCCCAGCCTGATTAAACCGTGTACAAAGGTTACACACGCCGCTCCTGCGGCCGCCTTTCCCTTAAAAATCCTGGTGAGGAGTCAGTGGAAAAGGACAAGGACAGCTGTCCCCGCCAGCACAATAAGCCAAGGGCCCGCCGCTCACACTCAACTAGGTTAAAAGTGGCTTGAAAACATTCCAGGTCGGAGTCAGTTCTCCAGAAACCATGTGTGACGGCAGAACACGCCGGATTCTTTCCGCACCGAACAAAGACGGGCGGTTTAGGGCAGAGTTCCCACTGAAAATAGAGATCAGGGCGAGATGGACAGGTCAACTGGATTTCAGGTGAAAGGTCAAAGGGCGCCCAGAACATATATTATATTGGTGTATTAAAATAACGTCGTGCGTCACTCGCTATACATCATCAGCTGACACACACAGAGAGGAAACTGAAGCGGAATACCCAAAATACATTCCAAATGTTAAATCATGGAATACATTATTGACAAATCATTGTATACATATATTATTAGAAAAGATTCCAAAAGCCAAACATACAGAAAATAAAACTGAACCACATTACTCTTAATTAAAAATAACATTTAAATGTTAAATAAATAAACAAACAAACAAACAAACAAACAACAGATAATAGATTATATAACATTAAATATAATATACATTTGATAAAATTATTAAAAAGTTTCTAAAAGGCAAATAAAAGGTCAAAGTAACATAACAAAAGATTTTAAAACCCCCTAACATACAGAGGGGAAATTAAAAACGGAACTGCATTGCTTTAAAAAAAAAAAAAAAACACTATTAAAAATTGACCTGAAATTTGAAATATATATAACATATTTACAAATTAATTTTATAAAGTTAGAAGTACCTTTAAAAAAAGATCACAGAGGGGAAACTAAAATGTTAACAACAGTACTCTGAATAAAAAATAAAACCGAAATATTAAATAAATAAATAATGCATTATATAAAATTACACAATTAAGCCTATACATTTTATTAAATTATTAATAAAAAATAAAAAATAAAGAAACAGGTCATAAACTTAAAATCTTATCTGCAATGCATTACTGTATCACAGTTAAAGTCTTAACTGCATTACTTTAAATGAACTAAAAATAAATTGTGAAATTTGATTTTAAAAAAATAAATTGATACTACATTGAATGTTTGTGAAATGTATAAGTTAAATGAAAAGTAATAAAAAAGATAAACTCCTTCACTCCTATGTGTAAAGTGTCCAGCCGTGAGCTCCATAGCAATTTATCCACTTGCTCAAAACTGCATGCATATTGTAAAACCCCATCCCGCAGTATATTCCTGTAATGATATTACAGAGAACTGGAGTAAAGTTCTGTTCCCACACTGAGTAGGAGTCTGCGGCGAACGATAATGTCACGCAGGAATTCGGGAGGTTCGGACCTTTGGCTCAATTTGATGCTGATTAGACATCAGTGGAGGAGTGTCACGGTCGCTGCTACTGTGGAGGAGATGAGCGATCAACAGTCTTTATTCAACCAAATAGAGAAGTACATGTAACAGGCAGGAACACACACATGTAGCAGGAGGGTAAGACGTACAGTTCCAGACAAGAGAGAATGGAAACACACACGGCTTAAATAATAAGGGAGCTAATGGAACACACCTGGGATCAATAGAACTAAATGGGGAACACCTGGAAACACAATCAGGACAGGAACAGGAAGACCAAATAAGGACATAAACATAACACGGAGCACGTGGGGGAAGAAAACACACACAGACACGGAACAGAGTCTGACAAGGAGAGGTCGAGCAGATGAATACAGATCTACTGACTCACAGCTTCTGCATTTCCACACACGGTGCTTTATACAGAGAACTCCAGACTCAACATCTTCAGCTCCACCAACAGTTACAGTAAATCACTACTGTGGCTAAAAACATCCACATTATCAGCAACTACTTCTTGTTCTAACAGCCACACGCATCTTAAAAAGACATTTTAACTAAGACCATGTCATTATTGTATGAATATATGTGTAACAGAGGCCAGCGAGTAAGTGCTGTGCAGGTAAAACCTCACTCCCTTGATCTCAAGAGATGCACTAGCGACTGACGCTAGAGGCTGCAGTCTTTAGCCTCCTTGTTAGTGCGTCCGCCTCCCATGCCGGAGACCCACTCGGAGCGAGAACGAGGTGTGGCGGAGAGGACCCGGGGGAGAGGGGTTACATTGGTGCCGTGACCCGGATGGGAGTGAGGTTTAGGGGGGTGAGTGTAACGGAGGCCAGTGAGTAAGTGCTGTGCAGGTAAAACCTCACTCCCCTGATCTCAAGAGATGCACTAGAGGCTGCAGTCTTTATCCTCCTTGTTAGTGCGTCCGCCTCCCATGCCGGAGACCCGGGTTCGAGACCCACTCGGAACGAGAACGAGGTGTGGCGGAGAGGACCCGGGGGAGAGGGGTTACATATGTTAACAATAATTATAATACTTCATATGTCTCTTGTAGAAATATTCTATAAAGAAGCAACTGGTGTATTATAGTGTGTTCAATTCTAAACTGCGTTTATCCAGGAATGAAAAACAAACATGAGCTATGTTAAATATAGAAGGACTGTTTGAACATTAAAATCCAGAAGCTCAAAGAACTGATTGTGTCTAAATAAGATTTTATTTTTAAGAGTTATTGTTAACTAAAACCAAAACGATTAAAATATTTTTGTTAACTGCTGAAATGAAACAAAATATCATTATTAAATGGACAAAACAAATGAATAATAAACGAAAAATAGAAATAACTTAAGTAAATTTATGTTGAAGCATTAAAATTACAAATTGGAAATAAAAAAAATTAACTAAAATTAAAACTGAAATAAAAAATATATTTAACCTAAATAGGAATATTAAAAAAGAACAAATACCAACAAAAATGATGAAAGCACATAAAAATAAATAAATAAAATTAAAACCGAAAATATAAAAAAATGAAAGTTTGGAATGAAAATAAATGTATCGTATTATATATAACATGAATAATATGTGGATCAAAATTCATATAAAACCCATCATTGTGTATTCAAGTCATATATTCTATTCTATTCTATTCTATATTATAAAATAATTAAAATATAAAAAATTAAAATATATTTAATTTCAATAAATATTGGAATATACATTTTATAATCAAATATAAATTCTAAAAATATTTAAATATAATGTAATAATATAAATAAATATATGAAATATTAATTATTATAAGCAGCGGAGGAGACACTGGCATCCACATGTGCTGACTTTCAGAAAGTTCCCATGGAAAAGCTTGAACAGATGCATTTTCCATTATATTACAGCATGTTCTGGAGGTCCGGATGTGTGTGATTTATGATCCGGTTCTCATCGAGACACTACAGAAAACACATGTGCTGCCAAACACACACTTAGATCAGCCTTCAGAAATAACCACACATGAGAACAACAGCTTCAGGACTTCAGCTTCAGGGCCGTTTCTAGGCATAGTCGAGCTAGGGCGCCACCAGCTGAAGGGGCGCCAATGAGCAGAAACAACAACAAAAAAATTGAACAAAAAACAGATAATGACAAAAAAGTAGCCATTGATAATATCTAAACAATATGTAGTAGTATAGTATCCAAATCAAAATGTAATAAAATTAATTTATGTGTGATTTATGTGTAAATTATGTGCAATGTCTTAGCCACTAGGGATTGTTACATAGGGCTATACAGGCATCTAGTGGCAACACAATGATATTACAGATACTAAATTGTGCAAAATGTTTATCTTAACAGTCAATTTACAGATAATGCATTCAGATTTGTGGAACTCAATACACAGAATCTCCACAAATTAGTGTCGTTACTATGACAACCAATTTGAATGTGACAAGCAACTGGTGTCTGAAAAGAATTATATATATATATATATATAATTTGGGGGAGGGGGGGGGCAATAGGGATTTCGCCTAGGGTGTCAAATTGGCTAGAAACGGCCCTGTTCAGCTTCATGCTCTATTGTCCAGATGCAAGGTCATCCTGTACAAAGGTTTTTATGAAATTCAGTTGGATCGTCATAAGCTCTTTCACAAATCAGAGTTAGCACAAGAACTAATGCTGCCACAGCACTGCTATGATTGACTAATATTGTTGCATTATTGCATTAATCTGAATTGCTCACTGATTGCATTGCTGATCGAGTTGTCTGATAACCTGACACTGTACGTTACAGATCTTGTTGACTGTACCTGCAGAGGTCAGGGGTGAAGACGTTGAGCCGCTCTTCTTTGCTCAGGAACGGGTGGAAGCCGCTGCCGTCGCTGCCGTTGATCATGTTACTCTGGTTGGTTTTCCACAAGGACAGCATCCTGAGACACAAAGCACAGCAACCATCAATCATCTCTAGCTCTGCTTCGTGAAAATATGATATTCAGAAGAATCGGAGTCTTTACTTCTCTCCCTTCCAGGTGTAAATGCGTCCGAAGTCCAGGTAGTTCTGCTTTCCGGTGTGATACACGAACTCACCGTCATCACTGCCGTTTTTCTGACAACACAAGAACAGCCCAGATATGAGACAGACATGACAATAACAATTCGACATATATTTTCATTAGATTATATTGTGAAATAATTAGAATTGATTTTATAAAACAAATAAAAAAAGTTGAATCCATTTTTATAAAATATAAAATATAACAATATTTAAATATAATTTACTGTAATAATATTAAATATTATTAAACATATTTATAACAATATATTAATTAATAATAATATATTAATAATTATAATATAATTCATAATAAAATCAATAATAGATTAAATAAATTATTAATAGAATACCGTAACAAAACAGATGCATTAACAGATCTTAGTATTGTATTACATTTGACAGCATTTTACATTATTCTTCCAAAAATTATTAAAGTTGTTTTAAATAATTAACACTAAAGACTAAAGACAGTGGTACACAATGACTATAATGACCACAGTGACACACACACACACACACACACACACATATATATATATATATTACATTTTAAAATAATTATAATTTATTTTAGAAAATCAATATACATTTTATATATTTTTTTATAAATAATATAACTAAAATACTTATGATAACAAAAATATGATTTAATGAATTAATTATATTATATTTGAATTTGTATACATTTTATTATTTATTCATTTAATATGAATATTAAAAACATTATTAAAATAATATATAAATGTAACAATAAAAAGGTGAAATATATGTTAATATAATAAATATAAATATATATTCCTTCCTCTGGGTCAGATCATCAAGCGCCATGGTCTAAATTTCCACAGTTACGGCTGACGATTTTGACGATCTGACGCAAATTAATTTTTCTGCACAGCTCAACTCTGTTTTTCCTCCTACTTCTTTAACATCTTGCCTACATGATCTTAAAGTATGGATGGCTCAACATTTCTTAAAACTGAATACTGAAAAAAACAGATTCTGTTAGTCGCCCAAAATCCTTTGTCTCCTCTGATCTTGACTTTTCTATTCTTATCGATGGAGTTATAGTACATCCTTCCCCTACTGTACGTAATCTTGGTGTACTATTTGATTCTGCACTATGCTTTGAACCCCATATCAACCAGCTTGTCAAGTCCTGTTTTTACCAACTTTGCAATATTTTCAGTTTACGATAATCACTAAATTTCAAAGATGCTGAACTGTTATTCATGCTTTTATACCTTTGTGCCTGGACTACTGTAACTCCTTGTTATATGGCCTACCTAACAAAGAGAGTGTGTGTGTGTGTGTGTGTGTGTGTGTGTGAGTGTGAG